AAAAGTTATTGTGTGATTTTAGATTTCATTCACTGATTTGTTGCAAATTTAGAATACCTATGTGCTATCCCCGGGAGCATTCACTTGTAATGTAACATTATAGATTTTACTTTGAGCATTACATTACAATAATACCTCCCTGACTAACGAGCATATACTTGTAATGTAACATTATAGATTTTACTTTGAGCATTTCATAGCAAGATGTCAGACATTGATGTTACAAGTTGTATCAAGATATTACACATTGTATCATTACAAGGTGCGCATTGTAATGCTCGGTTCTCCTCCTTCACTGATGCTGAGATTTGTAACGTTACGTTACACGCGAATGCTCCCAGTGAGGGAGCACCTTTAGAAATTGTCAGTGTTGCCTCAAAATTCAATTAGAATATTTGACTTTCTCTTGTCGGAATACTGAAATGCTACTCAATTTTAAGTCGTGCTTAAGTATAGTTCTATCTCTACAAATTCTTTGTAAAATGACAGAGATGACACGATATTTGAGCACGTTTCAGTATTCCGGCATTTATCTATTGGAAATCTGAAGTTAGTATCAAAAATTTATTGTATTTTAATATGGGCCTTCGTTTATTGTAGTAGATATTACAGTATTATTGTATTTTAATATGGGCCTTCATTGCCTGATATAAATAAATAAATAAAATAAAAAATAAATAAAAATAGAGAAGATGTATTAGTCTTCTTATAAAGAGTAAATTTGTCACATTATTAATTTACAAATGATCAACAAAACGTTAATGTTAGTGACGTTAGTAGCTAAACATCATTATATTCATAATTCCAATCTGAAAAGTCCAAATCAAATAATTTAACGCAGAACGGGGCCACTCAAAACTCGGCACTTTACAGCAAACTTAACTTTGCACAAAATAATGAAAATTCACCTTTTTTATAAAGAACATAAAGTGTACGGGGAATGCAGAGATAAGTGTGTAAAAAGATCTCTTGGCTTTCGAACTCAAGGAAGTTTAATGACTAATTATCCCCTCCCCCTCCAAGGGGAGACTGGTCCAAACTGAATCGTGGATTAAGTCGGCAGTCGGTAAGGAGAAATTTTCAAATTACCATGGGTTTAACGAAAGTTTGCAGTTTTTTTGTTTATGGCATGGCGTTGAGTGTGCAAATAGAGCTTCGTATACTTTTAAGGTTTTTATTTTCTTGTTGAGAAGTACTGGTTCAAGTTATGTTTTGTTTACGCTTCATTCGTTTCTATTTTGTAAAATAGTCATAGTAATTGTTAGTTTTATAGTCATTACTTAGTCCTACGGTTCAATTAAGTGACAGCGGTTATTTCATTACATTTGGAAACTAAAGGCGTGTTAATTTTAAGCTTGTAGCATGCTTCAATTGAGCACTTGTCACTTAGTAGCATGTGCGTCGGAATCTCGGAATGTTGCTCAAAATTACCATGCCCATTTCAGGCATTTTTGCTAATCGATAGGCGTTCGATTTTTGAACATTTTTGAGCATACTCGATAGAACGTATTTCAGCAGGTGTACCTTAAAAAGTTTAGGAAACTAATAAGAATTGGGTACTTGCTAACTTTTACTTTTTTGTGAACTGTCAAAAACGTCAGTTTTCTATGAATTTTATATGAGATTGTGTAATGTGACGTCACTTTTTTTAGCGTCAAACAGCGTACTTATTTGTTATAAATTTGCTGGAAAAATACGAAAATTAAGTTAGTAATAAAATCAATTCATGAAAGTGTGATTATTTTTTTATATTTTATTGGATTGAACAGTCAGAATTATTTATTTCTGATTAAGGCAAGTATCCAATTTCAGAAAATAGGTCGTCAGGAAATCTCGATACACTAACTAGAGTAATTAGTTCAATTATATTGAACCTTTTGTGATAACAGAACTCTACTCTAGATTAGCGATGAATCACCGAACTTTGTTTTGATTTCATGAGTTGTGTGACTCATCGGGTCCTCGATATTTGGATGATGATTTGTAATGACAAATCTGTATCATAGCTCTTACAAGTGGGTCACTTAATCTCAATAATATTATAAATGTGAAAATTTTTGTGTTTGTTTGTTAACCGACTTCAAAATACGATGGAGGTTCTTAGTTTGACTTATATGTACTTATGTGTGTATTTGCGCACGATTATCTCGCGACTGACTGAACCGATTTTGATGTGGTTTTCAAAAAAGTGTTTCATATCTATGAAGTCGGTTAATTAACGTTAATTAAACGACTTCTAAAAAAAGATAGTGTTGAAATCGGTACAAAGTCAAAGCATTTATTTCAATTAAATCATAATTTGGTACTTTTGAAACGTCAACAAATACAAAATAAAGTCTGCCAGTCAGTCCGTCAGTAAAGCTAGGTCCTCATTCCAAAATGTAGATTCGATTGGAGACGGACGAGCAAGAAACTCTATTCGTTACTCTTTTTACTTTTTATTCTACGGGAACGCGGGTAAAGCCGCGGGCAGAAGCTAGTGTTGAATATCATATCTATGAGGTTAGTCATAGTCAGATTCGTACGTCATTGGAATTTCTCATTCCAATGTATACTTGAATCTGAAGTATTGAAGTACCATTACTGAAGATACTTGAGAAATGGATTATTATATTAATAACAATTATTTAACAGCTGATAAGATGTGATGTACTCTATATCGTACAGATCTAATAGATCAATAGTGTTTGTAGTACTAATCACTATACAAACATGTTGGACTCAGTCACACACGATCATTACGGGGTACATTCCTTGACCCCATACAACCACAAACTGAGATTTTTTAAATGCAGAACCAAAACGAACGAAAAGCAGCTATCTTGTTGTATAAAATAGTAAATAAGAGTAGTATTTAAGTTAATGTAAGTTTTGTAAATCTGTTTAGGGAATGGTGGGTCTGGCAAATGTGATCAAAAGACGCTCTAAATTAATAAAATTAAAAAAAGAAGCAGCATTGGGGATTCAGGGATTGGGGAGATTGGGGAAGGGAAGGGTATTTGGGCCTCTGGTAACCTCACTCACACGACGAAACACAACGCTATTACTTTATGAATAACTATTTCAAACATAATAAACCTTTGTGCTGCTCACGTGTTGGTGTCACAAATTCAATACCAACGCGGAGACAAGTATAATCTACCTATTCTACCCTTTTATAAATAACGCTTACTATGTCATTAGAAAAAGCAAAAACATGTGTGATTTTTTTGGAATTAATATACTCTAGGTATATGTGATTTATTTCTAACTGCCTCGTTGGCAGAGTGGTCGCAAGTGCGACTGGCGAGGAAGGGGTCTCGGGTTCAATTCCCGGGTCGGGCAAAGTATTACTGGGTTTTTAAAAATTCTCAGTGGTAGCAGGGAGTCTGGAATTTTTCCCGGTAAATGGCAATAGGATCGCCCCCTATTACATGGGACTCATAACATAAATAGTGAAAGGTGGGTGTTACATTGTACAGTGGTATAAAGTGCGGTAATGTACACCTCTGCCTACCCCTTCGGGGATAAAATGATGTTATGTTATGTTAAACTTTTAGTTTATGATGTCATTCTAACTATAACATATTTTTAAGCCGTCTTCATTTTAGCCTTAGTTATTTATTCCTTAGTTTATATCTATATATAGATTAGTTTCATTACATTCTTAATGTATGTCCACTATATAGCAATAAACTTATAAAAAAAGAAAGCCGTATTTATTTTCTAAAGATTAAGTTTCTTTTTATTCACTGTTTTAGTTGTTGTTATTTTAAGTTATATATATTTATGTAGTTCTGTCTCCATTTGTAAAGATATTCGTGTAAAATTATAAATAAAATTGGTTCCCCGTTTAAGTATAACATAATATACCAAACATAATACATTAACAAGTTTTCTTTTAGTTTATAGATGTAAGCAGAAACAGAGCGATTCTATCACAACTCTTTAGCTTTCCTTATATGAATACAAGTTGGGCAAGTTACCTACCTAACAAATTCTGTACCTATTTTTAATATCATTTATTTTAAGGGATTTGTGTACACATTACATTATGACGGTGTCAGTTCCATCGTTCTTTAATGCCTACCTAATAACAATTTTAACGATAAGTGTGGGAGAGCCATGCTTCGGCATGAATGGGCTGGCTCGACCGGATTGATATCACGGCCTCACAGAAGACCGACGTGAAACAACGTTGTGTTGTATTTCATCGTGTGAGTGAGGTTACCGGATGCCTAATTACCCCCTCCCTTTCCCCAATCCCTGAATCCCCAACAATCCTCAAATTTCTAATCCCAAAAGGTCGGTAACGCACTTGTAATGCCTCTGATGTTCCAGGTGTCCATGGGCTTGCTTACCATCAGGTGATCCGTTTGCTCGTTTACCTGCTTATGCATTAAAAAAAAAATGGGACGCTCCTGAAAAACGCCGACAGGTAAAAATCAAGTACTATATACATAAAAGCGAGGAATTAAACATATTTCTTGTATACAATAATAGTGGTAATTAACTGCTCAAGAATAACAAGAAAACAGAAACGATTAAAATTGTAAAACAATTTATTTTTGTCAGCGTTTGGCAGTGTTTTGTTTATAGCCTATATAATAAAGACTGAGTTAACTACCAATTTACAATCTCAAATATAACTTCAACGATCAATTTGGGTTTACTACATCATAGTTATGGGATATCGAGATCCAAAGGCTACTGGCCTCATGAACAATTACTGTCAACCAAATAACAAAATTTAGCACCAAACAATGATTGATGACATGCAGCGCCTGTCTTCGACCTTGATTAATATTTAATACTAAATACTAAAAACATGGTTTAAAACCTAAACCAAGGGTGATTAGTCTACATGGCTGTAACTAGCGTGACAGACACCAACCACATACAAACATGATATTAGTCACGATGTCACGAACAGTACCGCAATAACCACGGCACTCGAATTTCGTTTGTTCTTATCAAAAAATTCTATATATTCTCGATTGTGTGTGATATCGGAGCAATAGATGAACCAATGTAATTGTCAGATTAGATATAGTCTGATAGCATTTATTAAAAACGTTGGTGTTGCCAATTGTTATCACAGTTTGTTGAAGTGTGTTCGTGAAGTCAGTACCATGGCTCCGTGGCTTGAGTTTCCCCATGAGATGAAAAATGTTACCGGTGAAGAAGATAAAATTCTAAGGAAATGTTTACTAGGTGCGTTTAGTGTTGTGTTTATTTATTTTTTGAGGAAAGTATCGATATTGGTGCTTGATTTTTCATTAATTTATATCTTTTCTTCATATCTTAATCGTCTCATCATTTTTAACTCATATGTACTCCGTTTATAACTAGAGATTTGCTCGTCAGATCTTAAATATGAATACCATAATATAAATTAATTTTCTCATACATTTTCACATGATTATCACACGATATGAAGTGTACTAAGTTAGAGAAATTCTAAGTTATTAGTAACTTCTATTTAACTAGCTTTCTCTTTCTACTTTCGGTTTTACCTGTCTGCAGATATACGTATAAGAAAAATAAGAAATAAACATTACTCCCTGAATAATAAACTTCCGAAAGACGTAAGAAGTTTTTAAATCGGTGTAGTAATTTCGAAGCCTATTTAATGCAAACAGACATACAATCCAACTTTGTCTTTTTACAATATTGGTATAGTCGTGGCACTTACAGTAATACAATATTATATAGCACTTTACCTAAATTATTCGGTAATAATTGTAATGAAACTATAAACAATAAATACTTGACAAATTAATTGGAATTTTGTTCCATACACGCGTTGCTAGCCGAGTTTCCGTATAATTAAATTAATGCTTACATACATCATTGATTTTCAACGAATTATTAAATTCCCTGTTATATTGGTGTTACGTAACCACCACATATAGTATAATGTACACATATACTGGATTTTATACCGAATACATGAGACACATTTTCTATTTATCGATTACCAAAATGTTCAGTGATGGCTCTGAATCTAGTGTTAGTATAGCTGGATTTGAACTAGGACTAGACAAGGTATAAGAAAGCCGGTTTTGTATCTGCTGACCAAGTGCCGCTTCTCATACGGAGAAGGTTTAAGCATTAATCACAACGCTTGCTCAATGCCGGTTAGCGATTTCAAACTTATAATTTGATATTATAAGCCCAGGTTACTCACGATGTTTTCCTTCACCGTTTGTCAATTGTGTCTAAATAATATTAAAAAGTACATATGTATAAATCGTAAAAGTTCTCGCAGATTTGTATTACCTAAGTTCTTCATCTTATACTATTATATAAAGCCGAAGAGTTTATTTTTTTGTTTGCTTTGAATAATTCTTTTTGTGTCGGATAGCGAATTTATCGAGGATGGCTATAAGCTATAAAACATCACGCTACGACCAATAGAAGCTAAGCAGAGCATGTGAAAACGCACGGAGGTAGCTAATTAATAATGTTACGTGAGTCATAGCAGGATACTTAAGTATTAAAAGTATATTGTTAAGCATATCACCTTTGTAAAAAATGTCGATAAAATTGTTAACAGAAAACCTTTTTATCAGGCCACAATCCTGTTGTCAACGTTTTAGTTATTTTCGGTATGTTATCTCTATACAGACATGATATTGATCGATTTTTGTTCACCATTGCGCCAAACCTTAGTGTTCGTTGTAACAAAATTTTATATGAATACTACAAATCGTGTGATGTTTTTATAATAACTATCGTGAGACACACTAAATTAAGTAAAAACGCGGGTTACTCAAGTGAATTGAAACTACGCAACGGTTTTTTTTATGGATAGAATGATTCTTAAAGAAGGTTTATGTGCGAAGCCGGGGCGAGTCGCTAGTCCCATATAAAAATAGACGAAAGTACATTTTATAATCTTCTCTTTTGTTGAATCCATTCGTTAACTAGAAAACGTGATGTTATGTTAAGTCGTGTGATCTGAAGATTTGAGTGTTACAAACAAATGAAGGGTTTATCTAGCAGAGATAAGGTTCAATCTTAAATTGTTCGGATGTGGATCTAGGTTATCTTGTCGAGTTTCTTATTTGACATTTGTATCTACGACTAATACGTACAGACAATAGTTAGTTTTCTTACTGTTGACTTTGTTAGTTCGGGATGTTTGATGTTATGTGAATGATTTAGCATTTAAAACTGTTTTAGCAAGATTTAATAGAGGATAATAAATGTTCATATAATAAAAAGTTTCCTGACGATCTCCAGGTGCAAAAATCATACATATTATCATAATAAAACTGACTGCCTCGATGGCCGAGTGGTCGCAAGTGTGACTGCCGGGCAAAGGGTTCGATTACCGGGTCGGGCAAAATATTACTGGGTTTTTTTAAAAAATGTCACTAGTAGCACGGAGTCTGGAAATGTGCCCGGTATATGTCAATAGGCTCACCCTCAATTACATGGGACTCATAACATAAATAGTGAAAGTGGCTATTACTTCTGTGTGCACCTCTGCCCACTCCTTCGGGAATAAAAGGCGTGATGTCTTTTTTAACATAATATAATGACTTAGCTGTGATATGAAATAATTACAAACATGCTTTCAATTATCCATTTGTAATAATAGTTCGAAAGTAAATATTGTATCATTACTTAAGAAGAAGTCTAACGTAACTGTTTCACTGACCTTAATAGCGATGCCTTAATGAATGTAGGTCTAATTATATAGGCAGATTCCTAAATAACGCTATTGGAAGGAATCATACACATTCATTATCAATATACAGTGCAAATTACTTAACGATTCGACCTTATTGCAATTAGGAACACCTGAATTCATTTTAGCGTCTTGTATTGATTCTCAATGAAAATTTAAATTATGACTCATAAGTGCTATTTTTGCTTGTTCAGTGTTACTCCATGTTGCAATCGGGTTAGTACCTAGGAACATTGCTTTTTTTGTATCCAGAATATAAGTAACCTTCTGGATCTGTCTGGTCTGTCAGTCTTTCTTGGTTAGGAAAATGCTATGTATAATTTATTTTTATGGCATAAGCCGGTAAACGAGTAGATGGATTACCTGATTGTAAGCGATCGGCGTCGCCCATGGACACCTGGAACACCAGAGGCGTTACAAGTACGTTACTGGCTTTTTGGGATTAAGAGTTTGAGGATCGTTGGGGATTCAGGAATTGGGGAGATTGGGGAAGGGGAGGGTCTCCGGTAACTTCACTCACACGACGAAACACAATGCAAGCGTTGCTTTACGTCAGTTTTCTGTGAGGCCGTGGTATCACTCCAGTCGAGCCGACCTATTCGTGCCGAAGCATGGCTCTCCCATACTTATAGAGGTAATATGTTAAAATTGCTATGTAATATTTGTTTTTCGATAGTCTATGAGTATGAGTGGTCTATGAGTCTTTTGCTTTAAACTCTTTCAATTTTGTCAAAGAATAGGTCTTATAAATACGTTACTTTATAGTTATTTGCTTATCATAAATAAGTGAACTAGTGTCGTGGAACTTTGTCGCTATGGGGCAAAAGAGATACATGAACAGTTTGTTAAAAGATAACCTATACGATGTTCACGACTTGTAGTTACAGCTAACGCGAGGTTATAGCTGAATTCTATATTCCGTGAGCTGAATATATGTATTTGTTTATTGGTTACTAGGCAACCATATGAATCATAGTATGGTGGTTTTAACTGTCACCATGTTAAGTTTTTTTCTAATATGTGACATAATGATGTTTTAACATAACATAACATCACGTCTTTTATCCCCGAATGGGTAGGCAGAGGTGCACACAGAAGTAACACCCACTTTTCACTATTTATGTTATGCATCCCATGTAATAGAGGCTCATCCCCATGAGCCTATTGTCATATACCGGGCACAATTCCAGACTTCGTGCTGCAACAGAGATTTTTTTTTTTAAAACCCAGTAATGCTTTTCCCGACCCGGGAATCGAACCCGAGACCCCTTGCCCGGCAGTCACCCTTTCACACAGCCAGCGAGGCAGTCACATTTAAAGGAATACATAAATAATTTGATTATCTTGTCCAATTATTCCTACAGTGAGGAAGGGCTGGATCACAAAATCATATCAAGCGATGAATCAGTGGTTTTGTAATTAGCACACAACACCTCACATTTACGTTGGCAGTAGATAGCTAATCATATAAGACGTTTATTGTTCTATAATTTCTAGATTTCTTATCATTCAGTGTTATTGTAATTATGCAAAATGCTTTTACGATACATTGATAGCTTAGTAATATAACTCGTATGTTACTAAGGCAAGTGACTGGACTTTGTACTTTTTGTTGATTATGAATCTGGTTCTATTGTTTTTCCTAAAATGTGTTTAAATTTCATAATCAACTTTTCAAACTCATTTATCAATGATAGGACTTCTCTATCAATATATTTGGGTACAATCCTAAATATTACCTTGATGGCCGAGTGGTCGCAAGTGCAACTACGACAAGGGGTCTCGGGTTCGATTCCCGGGTCGGGCAAAGTAATAGGCTCACCACCTATTACATGGGACTTTTAACACAAATAGTGAAAAGTGGATGTTACTTCTGTGTGCACCTCTGCCTACCCCTTCGGGGATAAAAGGTGTGATGTTATGTTATGATTGCAACATAACATGTTATGTTACTTTACTGTCCTAAATAATTATTACTTACCTTACCAAAAATTTTAAATTGGACAATCTCAATAATGTTATGCCACTGGTGGTCATGCCACTATTTCACATTTATAAAATAAAGTCAATTATTTTATACGTTATATTTATTGTGGTTCGTTAAATACTAAAACTGATTGTATTTGATTAATTGGTATGTTTTCGGCTTGACGAGAAGACTAGAGGCTCGAAACTAGCATGGCTTGAAACTAGTCGAGGTCATTATCAATCAGTCACGTAAGTAAGCCGAAAACATAACAATTAATTTAGTATGTGTAACTATGGTTATATTTGGCATCAAATATAACTATTATTAAATACAATGCTTGAATTATTCATTTGAAACTGTCAAAAGACACATCGTTAGCTGCTAGTACAACGATTTTATACTTTTCGCATAATTTTTTTTTATGGGACAAGCCCGTCACGATCTCCCAAAACTTTTCGAGTAATAATACTTTCCATGCGATATCGAGTGAATTGGTCAAATCAATATTTACTCTTGTACCTACAATACTTCCCGTTGGAGATAACTAAACATTTTAAAACATTATCAATTTAAACTTAAGGAAAAAGAAAATAATCGCGGTTCTCTTTCGTTAAAACTTATAATATTTTATTATCGGGATTCGGAATTCAGATCCATAAATTATAAAAAAGTATGATAATTATTTTAATCTTTCGTTATTATATAGATATGGAATTGTATTATTTGTTTTGAGTCGTACAATATGCTTGTCATTGTACTCAATGTACTGATTTGACCCTGATAACTTGATGTTCAATCATTACTTGTCAGGGTTTTAGAGATATCTAATTTTCTACGAGTGCTCTAAGGACATCTTTTTGCAATCTCTATCTCTACTTAATCAATCTCTTATCGGACTTTGAAAGCGAAAACTACTTTTTGTCACCTTTATCTAAGTCTCATATTTAATACTATCTTCTGCCACCGGTTTCGTTTGCGTTTCTGTGGGTTAAAAAAAGGTAGCCTATGTGTAACTCACTCCAGACTATGGTCTGGTAGATTATGATCTACCCCTGTTCCAAATTTCATTTCGATCCCTTCAGTCGTTTTGACGTGAAAGAGTAACAAACACATACACACACACACACACACACATCCTATAAATGCGTGTGTGGATGTGTATATTCATCCACACAGGCATTTATAGTATTAAGTAATAGGATACAATGTATCCTACGGGAATGGGAGAAACGGAATTGCACGTACGAAGTCACGGGCAGAAGCTAGTTCCTGAATACTTTTAAAGTCAAAATTTATTCAACCATCTAAAAAGTTCTTTGACTTCATTTAAAGCATTTAATTCTTGCTTTCGTTTCTTTTTCAAGTAGGACTTACTTTACTATTCTTGCTTTTGTTACAAGTCATTTGGAATTGGTAACTATATCTTTTTGCTCTATTTTACTCCAATTAAACGCCATTTCATCATAAACCATCACGCCTCACAATCCCCAACAATCTTCAAATTCTTAAACCCCGAAAGGCTGGGAACGCACTTGTAACACCTCTGGTGTTCCAGGTCAGGCGAGGCAGATGGCTAACCATCGTCTGCTCGTTAACCCGGTTATCTCATAACAAACTAAATTCCTCTTTAATGTTTAATAATAATCTCAAGTGCTATATCACTACATAGTATAGAACAAAGTCGCTATCCGCCGTCTGCCTGTCCCTATGTATGCTTAGATCTTTAAAACTACGCAACGGATTATGATGCGGTTTTTTTAAATAGATAGAGTGCTTCTTAAGAAAGGTTTATATGTATAATACATGTGTATTGCACCCGTGCGAAGCCAGGGCCGGTAGCTAGTGTAAAATAAAATATTCTTTCCTATCACGCATTCGCACCATGATCCTACCAATGAATTTTCGGTCTCCATGCAATAAAAGTATATAAAAACATATACTACATTATCGATGTTGGCTATCAAACATCTCGCTCAGTGATACTTATCTGAAAGTATTCATATGTACTAGTACAATACGTACTTTATGTAGACACTTGAAATAAACTTCATGTTGAGTATAAGTAAATAATATATTTATAGGCGTTTTACGTAAGTGGGTATTCCAGTTGTTAATTAATTGATTTAGATAGTAGAAGTGATTGTTGTGTCGGGCATGGACTCGACATCACCACAGGTGGCGCTGATATTTTTTTATATTTGATGGGCCGACGTTTGACCACTATCTCACCTGGTGGTAAGCGATGATGCGGTCTACGATGGATCACGTCATCCCATAAGCCTATCTACCTATACCTACTAAATAGTAATTTAAATATAGAACATCCAATAGTCAAACTATTTATATATAGTTTTGTTGGACATGGCGTTAGATTATAAGGCATACCATGTACCTTTATAAACAAAAACAATAAAAAAAAGCAACCTATTCACTCGGGCCTTGAAGTATTCATATATTTCAAGTATTCGTATAGATAGATAGATGAAACGCGAATTTGTATTTTTTAAAAAGATAAACATATTATGTTCTATTAACGATAACGCTATAATGCTATAATACTATTTTTTCTCTAACCAAAAAATATTAGACTGAAAACACACTTATATTTACTGAGTAAATGAGTACAATATTTTAATCTACAATTCATAAAAGAGTACACCAATAAGCTTTCACTATACGAAATGGATGCTTTTAGCAAAATCATATTGTTACCTTTTTCATTTCATTATTAGAAATCTGAAAACCAGTCCGTTTGTTCATTTGTTTGATTTTTTTCAGAACTAACGTTGAAGTAAGTTTAATGACCTTAGTACAGAAACATATATTATATTTTTGAGATGATAATTTATGGAATGAGTGATATCAAACCTTTTTTCACAAATCACAATTCAATAATCAGAATTAACTGTTAAAATGTACGCAATAAGATATCAAGCAAAGCTACGATCAAAAGTTAGTATTAAAAATACCTTTTTAAAACATGCGGAGGCTATTTCAGCTCTGTATGAATTAATAAAACCATATTGTTGTTTTAATAAATGTATATTTTTATACATTTAGAGTGCTAGGTGTAGTAAGGGATGAAAGTAATTTAAAGTGGTACAGAGGTCATACATAATACGTATTCATTTACTTCATCAACAGCCTATAAATGCCCACTGCTGAGCAAAGCCTCTTTTCACACGGAAAAGGTTTGAGCATTATTCACCACGCTTGTTCAATGCGGGTTGGCGATTCAGTGGTGTTTAAATAATCTTAGAATGTACATATAACTCGGAAAAAGTCTCATTGGTACTTGCCGTTGGTAGGTTTCAAACCCGCATTCTCATGCATGAGAAGCCAGCGTCTTAAACCTCCGGGCCACCACGACATTCATTTACTTAGAAGCATATAATGTGATCATAGGTGATAATATTACAGAGTAAAATAGACTTTCTTACTCACCTTTAAAGTTTTAAATTAAATGGCAGCTTTGAAGCCATCCAGACACTCCTAATCTTATATCTTATACTATTATATAAAGCGGAAGAGTTTGTTTTTTTGTATATTTGTTTGAACGCGCTAATCTCCGTAACTACAAGTCTGATTTGAATGATTCTTTTTGTGTTGGATAGCGCATTTATCGAGGATGGCTATAGGTTATAAAACATCACCCTACGACCAATAAGAGGAGAGCAGAGTGTGTGAAACCGCGCGGAAGTAGCTAGTCTAATGATATAACATAACATAATATCACGCCTTTTATCCCCAAAGGGGTAGGCAGAGGTGCACACTATACTACTATAATGTAACACCCACTTTTCACTATTTATGTTATGAGTCCCATGTAATAGGGGGTGATCCTATTGATCTAATGATATCTTTCTTTTAATTCCAGGCTATACAAAGCCGTTTGTGCGATGTGGCGAGAAAGAGTACGTGATGGCTGGCTCGTACAGGAAGCATGCTGAGGCCATTTACAACTTCCAAGTCCGACCTGATGATGTATGGGTTATCACTGTACCTAGATCTGGTGAGTACTTTGACTTGTTTGGTTAAAACTTTAGTTATTGGTGGGAGGATGTAGACATTAAAGTTGTACGATAGAGTCGACATTCTAAGCCTGTCCTGTCCTGATTGAAAAAGAGTAACTTATGGAGTTTCTTCCTTCCTCTTTCGTCTAAACCGTTGTCCAGTACAGACGTGTTGTCTAAATTCTTAAGAAATATTAATTACTTTAACTGCGATTATAGTTCCACTAACTAGTACAATAGACTAGTTAATTGCAAAACACTGTGCGAGGAGTCACCGCGTCAGAAGCCCCCCGAGCCTCGAGCCGCGAGAACGAGAGTACCCTGATAATTGCCATCCCTTTCTGGCATCGCTGGGGACTGTCGCCACTGCGCCCGCCGCGCGCGCCGCCGTGTTGACTAATCACGCATACAGCAATATTTACATACCTATAGCTATTGCTAGCGCTCTGTGGTACCTACGCAGCTACACTCCTCGCGCCCCTTGTCGTCGCTTGCCTGCTACGAAACTGCACAGTACAGTACCTTACCTTTTCGGTGAGTCAACTTACTTTGATTTTACATAAAGGATGAACACCTCGGATCTTAACATCCTGAACAAGTCTTTGTCAGACACGGAAGTTAATACAGCGGGCACACATAAAACTCCACCTAACTATGTGTTCCAACGCGTCAAAAGAAGCAGAGATGATATGGATGATTCACTAACCAAACAATTAAATGATTTCAAAGAAGAGATGAAAAAAATGCTCTCGTCCTTTACAGAAAAACAAGAGAAAGAGACACAAAAAATTAATTTAAAATTACTGGAGATTCAACAGTCAAATACACACATAGAAAAGTCGATCGCGTTCTTAACAGCACAAAACTCTGACCTCCAAGAGAAGATAAACCGACTCGAAATGCAGTCTAAAGAAGACAAAAAATATATCTTTACTTTAGAAAATAAAATTGAGGACACGCAAACGGAAAGTCGGAAAAGCAACTTAATGATTAAAAATGTGCCGAGAAAAAATGGGGAGACCAAAGAAGATCTTTTAGAAATGACTGCATGCCTTTTTGCAAACATACAGAGCAACATAAAAAAAAACGACATTAAGGACATATACCGAGTTCGCGGAAAAACAGCGGAAAAACAGAACACACCTATTGTCGTGGAAATCGGCTCCACAATCCTCAAGACTGAGACATTGAAATTGGCGAAGGCCTTCAACACAAAACATCAAAATAAGTTGAGTTGCAAACACATGGGGCTTAAAAGTCAAGAAGACACCCCGGTCTTCATATCGGAACATTTGACGGCTAAAAGCTCCCGCCTCCACTTTCTGGCACGGGATCTCACTAAAACTGGAATATACAAGTTTTGCTGGACCGCCTACGGCAAGGTTTACATTAAAAAGGACGAAAATTCGCCAACTATAATTATAAGAACCGAAGAACAGGTACATAACCTTTTACTTAATAAATGACTATTCGCACCTAACTATATAATTTGTCTATTTTTAACATTGAAGATGTTTTTAGTACTGTTTAATTTGGAATTAACCGATTGCTGGTTGAAGATTTACTCAATTGGCAACTATAACTTCCCAGCCGTCATGCTTATCTATTTATTTAAAAAACGTAATTCCAACATTCATACATATCTTACTTACACACAAATACACATACTATACATATATCTTACTTACACACAATGTACTTACACGAAGTTACAACACACAAAACGCGCAAACACATATCACACTTATATGCATATATTCACACACTTTACATCCCTCTAAAATAAAAATACAGCCCACCAAAATAACAAAAATTAAAATCTCAATATATGGCTACCTACTGTTTATATACATTGAAATAAATACTTACCTAATCTCGACAGTTTTGCAATTAAAATTAACTATAAATGAATAATAATACACTTCGTACGGTCACAGAAATAGATAACATTGAAATTGCCCATACAGTTGAATGCGATTCTACAGAACTCCATAAATATATCTGTGTAAACAAAAGTGACCTCACTATAATATCCCAAAACATACGGAGTATTTACTGTAACTTTGACAGCTTTTTGATCTCTTTATCTAACCTCAAATTTGAACCAGATATTATTATTCTAACAGAATGTAGATTGCATGCTAACAAATCAATTCCGCAAATGAATAACTATCACTCGTATTTAACAACTCGTCAATTAAACCAGAATGACGGCGTAGTTGTATATGTTAAGAACTTTTTAAGCTCAAAAGTCAAGGAAATTCAACTGCCTCAAGCATCCTGTCTACGATTAGACATATTAGGTAACACAGTTTTATGTATCTACCGATCTCCCTCTAACTCAAATACTGACAGCTTCATTGACTCCCTCAGCACACAGTTAAACACATTAACATCACAAAAAAACATCATTATAGCTGGTGACATAAATATTAACCTCAAACACAGAGATACTGAGTCATCCCAGGAGCAGAAGAGTAGAGTTAACTACCTAAATATGTTATCGTTATTCGGTATACTTCCCGGGCACACTTTGCCCACAAGGGAACAAAGCTGTCTTGATCATTACATGCTTAAGCTACATAGGGAGTTCTCAGCATCTATCGCTATCCTGCACACTACTGTGACTGATCACTACACAACATTTATTTCTATAAAAAAGTTAAAAAATATCCCAATCATAAATAGAACTTCCACTACTCTAAATTACGATCAAGCTTTAAAAGATTTACAGGAAAAAAAATTATCGGACTTATTATTTTGTGATGATCCTAATTTATTAATCAATAATTTTATTAAAATGGTTACCGTAGTAATACACGAAAACACAAATATAAAAAATATTCCAAGTAACCAACGTATCATAAAACCTTGGATTACCTTGGGTATCCTCCGTTGTATCAAAAACCGAAATAGATTGCAAAAAAAATATCAAAATGACTCTCATAACGAAATTTTAAAACTAACATATACTAGGTACAGGAACTTCTGTAATAATTTAATAAAGAAATTAAAAAGAAAATATGAAAGGAATTTACTTGTACAATCAGTATCTAACAACAAATTACTCTGGAAAAATGTAAAAACCATCACACACTCAAATAGATTAAAAAGTCAGAATGTAGAATTATTAAACATTAAAACAACCCCCATAGAGTCTATTAACTATGTTAATTCTTATTTTGCGAATATTGGAGAACAACTTGCTAAAAAAATTCATTCGGATTTAAATAACACCCTTAACCCAACCATTGCACTAAGATCACAACTAAATTCCTTTGTACTACTGGATACGGACGATTCAGAGGTGCATAGTATTCTGATGAATCTGAAATCCGATAGTGCCCCTGGGTGGGACAATGTTTCGACAAAATTTTTAAAACATATAAGAAAGGAGGCTGTCCCCATTATCACCCACCTTGCTAATCTCTGCTTCCAAGAGGGTGTTTTCCCGGCTCCACTAAAGCAGTCCGTTATAACCCCAGTTTACAAGGCCGGCGACAGCGACGATGTCAGCAACTATAGGCCTATTTCCGTTTTAACCTCAATTTCCAAAGTGCTTGAAAAAGTTATAAATATTAGACTGACAAATTATTTAAACAAATTCAATCTATTATCTAACTCGCAGTTTGGCTTTAGGCAAGGTGTATGTACTGAGGATGCAGTAACTGCGTTAAGTTCTCTCGTAGCTGAGCATCTTGATAAAGGAAACAGATGTCTTTCTGTTTTCTTAGACCTCAAAAAAGCATTCGACACCGTCTCTGTCCCAATCCTTGTGAACAAGCTAGAGCAAGCCGGAATAAGGGGCAAAGCACTCAGCTTACTTAAAGACTATCTCTCCAATAGGAAACAAAGAGTAAAAATAGGACAGTACTCTAGTGACTGGGTAGATGTATCCTACGGCGTTCCACAGGGTAGCGTTCTTGGACCTACCCTCTTCCTCCTTTACATTAACGATCTTTGTAATATGGAAATAGAAAATGCTAAAGTATTTACCTACGCAGATGATACATCTATCGTGTTCTATGGTCCATCCTGGCACAAAGTTAAACTGAGTGCAGAGGCGGGAATGGCTCAGGTGGCTGGATGGCTAAAAAGTAACTTGCTTTCCCTAAATACTAATAAAACCAACTACATTTGCTTTAGTATCAGTAACCGTACGCAACCTATTGAAGAGTTGGATTTGAAGGTACACATATGTGGAAACATGTCCTCTGTGAGTTGTGATTGCCCATGCATTAAGAAAGTAGCTCAAACTAAATATCTTGGAGTTGTGTTAGATCAAGCACTGTCCTGGTACCCTCATCTCGAGCAAACTTCTGGGAGAATAAGGAAACTCAGTTGGGTTTTTAAAACCCTCAGACATATTGTTCCAACTAAATTAGAGAGTTGTAAGAACCGTCCCAGAAATCTCCTAAATGAAATATATGTGGCACTAGCCCAATCCGTGCTATTATATTGTATTCCAATCTGGGGCGGTGCTGCAAAAACTAAATTTATACATTTAGAACGAGCTCAGCGTGCATTAATAAAACTGATGTATTTTAAAAATAAAAGATTTCCTACTTCAAGTTTATACCAAATAAGTGATTTACTCTCTGTGAGAAAACTGTACATTCTCCAAATTATTCTAAAAACACACAAAACCCTATCTTATAATGATAAAGAAAAATCTAAAAGAAGAAAAGATTTAGTTCTCCAAGTTCCCCAAACTAAAACTAGATCTGCATATAGACAATTCTAAAACGGTCTAGTCAACTATATAACAAAATTAACAAACACGTTTATGTATATAATAAAAGTTACCACGACTGTAAAAAAAGTATAATAGACTGGATTAAATCACTTACCTACGAGGAAACGGAGACGTTTCTGGAACACGTTGAGTAGCCATAACATATACAATATACATAACTTACCATAACTTAAAACCACACACACCATGCTACACCATACATTTCATCACACACAAGACCGACACACACCACACCTTATCACATCACTAACACACTACACCACACCACACCACTCCACACCACACTACACCACACCACACTACAGTACACCACGCCACACTACATCACACCACACCACACTACACTACACCACACCACACCATAATATATCACACCCTACAATACCGCTCACCACGCCACACATAGCACAAGCATTGACTGGGAATATGTTTGGATTTACTTGATTTGCTGTTAATAAATTAAATTAAACTACAACTTTATTAATATATTTTAAATTTCTTAAGATTATCTACATTGTCACTAAAATAAAAATAATAAATGTACTTACATTGCATATTTACCCTAAGGTCATAGTACACTATAATATTAACTGTGTTGGTATTATGTGTACGACAATGATGTAAAAAGAGCGGAGCCTCCTAATACAGGCATTGTTTGCTTAAAAGGGGGCTCCAAACACGTTAACATGTAATGTACTTATTGACACAATAAACTATTTTGTATTTTTGTATTTGTATTCTTGCTCGTTCTTCTCCATAGGAATCTACGCCTTGGAATGAGCAACTAGCTTCACTTATAATTTTTTGTTGTTTGACGTTCAAAAGTGCCATCCTGGTCTAATTGAAATAAATGATTTTGACTTTGACTTTGACTTTGACTGTAAATTTAAGTTCAGATTGTAAGTAGGCAGTTTAGTACCTAAATCTTATACTTAACATAAGATAACATCATGCCTTTTTATACCCGAAGGGGTAGGCAGAGGTGCACATTATTCTATTGTACAATGTATCACCCACTTTTCACTATTTTCGTTATGAATCCCATGTAATAGGGGGTGAGCCTATTGCCATATACCGGGCACATTTCCAAACTCCGTGCTAGTACTGAGATTTTTAAAAACCCCGTAATTCTTTGCTCTTCCCGGGAATCGAACTCCAAAACGCGTTGTAATACATGTACAATTATACTATGGTATTTTACGATATTACCTATAACAATAGTTTAGTATTTATCTATCAAAATACAACAAACGTCATAAATTGTTATATGATAAATAAGCTGTTCTATAAACATTTTATTTCACACTTTATCATTTATTGTGATAATGTCGATTCGCCATTTGAAGCGATCATAGGGCGACGTAATCCAGGCAAATTTTACTGATATAAGGTACCTGTAGATTATGAGAACCTGCTCAGTTATTTTCCATAGTTATTGCTGAATCATGGTGATATAATTTTTGGTTTTCGATTAAAATTGTGTTCAAGGTTGAATGTTTGATAACCATTGATTTTTTAATGATAGAGAGAAAAGTGATTCGATGTGCTTGATTAATGTTAAATCATTTTTATTCTAATTATCATATTAGTAGGAATCTGGAATTGTGCCCGGTATATGGCAATAGGCTCACCTCCCATTACATGGGACTCATAACATAAATAGTGAAAAGTGGGTGTTACATTGTAAATTGGCATTTAAGTACCGTAATGTGCACCTTTGCCTACCCTTCCGAGGATTCAAAGAGCCATCAGACCACCACCGATGGGGCCCAACAGGACCGATGCCGATTCGGAGTCGCGGAGAACCTAACGTGTAACCGGGGCTCCGGCTCGACGTGCAGGAGAAGGAACGGGGTAGTTTTTAGTCAGTAAGAGTCTGACACTCCCTCCCGCCTCACCCAGGCGGGAACAGTCATTCGATGATTTCCCCCCTTAAAAAAAACCCCTCCGAGGATAATAGGCGTGATGTTATGTTATGTTATGTTATCTTATTAGTAATTGAGTCTCACTCATTTGAGGTAGGGAGAATGATTTGAATGAAATGATTTGATTTGAAAATTCTGCCCAGTTCTTTTACTTTATCCACCTTAATCCAAGATTACATAATCTAATTACGCATTATTCATATTTGTTTCAGGTACAACATGGGTACAAGAATTAGTATGGTTGGTAGCTAACAATATAGACTTCAAAACAGCTAAAGACCAGCCCTTGTACAAGAGATTTCCTATGTTAGAGTGAGTATTTTGATTTTTAGTGTTTGTTATCTTCGTCTAAATATTAATATAACTGGAAATCATGAACTCCTGGAATATAATGAGAAAAGCACATTGTTGTTAGGACTTCTTTATTCAGTTTTTGCGTGAAGAAGTTCTCATGAGAACTAATTAACAAAATCAACAGCCTATAAGTGAGCTGAGCAAAGACTCTTCTCACAGGGAGAAGGTTTGATCATAAATCACTACGCCTGCTCATTGCGGATTAGCGATTTCAAACTTATAATTACAAATAAGTCCAGGTTTCCTCCCGATGTTTCCCATCACGTCTGTGGTGTTTAAATAATCTTAAAAAGTCGATACGAAAAAGTCACATTGGTACTTGCCGTGGGTAGGTTTCAAACTCGCACCTTCATGCATAAGAAGCAGGCGTCTTAAACTCCGGGCCACCACGATAACTAATAACCATGGAGTCTAAATTGTCCGATGTGTAAGTTCAACCCTTTTGTGACAATTGGGTACTTCTATATGATATTTAGTTATTTATGTGCTCTTCGGGAAATCGCATTACTAGCGTGATGTTAGAGAAAATGTTATATCTAAAGTATTTTTACAGTTGAAATATTGTCGATTGTAATCAGGTGCTACAGAACGCCGATAAAATTTTACGATAGGAGTTCGTATCTGGTTTTAGTCATTATATAAACTGTTTTTGCGTCAAGTAAATAAGTAGGAAATACCATCCTTTGTTACGTTGGTAATAGAGTTGAATTTTCCCAATATCCGCCCAACTTACTTAGATATAGGGAGGATTTTGTAAAAAAAATCTGGGAAAAACGCTATGTTAGTAATGAGAATATTTAAATCAAAACATTCAATATAAAAGTACTGTTAAACATGCTAATTTCAAGCCTGGAATCATACTTCAATTGAGCACTTGTCTTTTATTAGCATGTCTATCGGAATTTCGCTAAAAATTACCATGCTCATTTCGGATATGTTTACGAATCGAGGGGCGTTCGATTTTTGAAATTTTTTGAACATGTTCAAAAGAACGCTTTTTAGCACGCTATATCAAAGCATGTGCACCTTTATGCTTGAAAAAATGATCTCGACAGTGACAATTTCAACCATTAGGATAAAGATTAATTTATGTATATTTTTTTTCTAAAGGGTATCAACACATATCCCAGAAATCGCAGTTGAACTGATCAAGATAAATTTCTTCAACTTGGGCAATTTCCAAGGCCTAAACGAAGCAGTTAAGGAAAAGAGTTGGAAGTCATTGGACAAAGCACCTTCTCCGAGGTTCATTAAGACTCATCTTCCGTTGTCGATGTTGCCGCCGAACCTGCTGTCGACCGCGAAGGTTGTATATGTGGCGAGGGATCCCAGAGACGTGGCAGTGTCTTACTACTATCTTTATAAAATGACGAACAAAAGCCTCCTAAGAGCAAACTTCACTCACTTCTGGGAAGCCTTCAGAAGGGATTTGTGTAAGTATACATTTTTAAACAGTTTCCAATACAGAAAATTGGTTTAAGGGTTAGATTTTCCGTGTTTATTTTTTTACTAGCTTTTACCCGCGGCTTCGCTCGCGTTACAAAAGAATATAAAGTAGCCTATGTGACATATACCAATACACACAACGCCATCTATACCAATACTTTTGTTTTTCCTCGGGAATATCAATTTTTTCCGGGTTAAAAAGGACCCTATTATTTAATCCGGACTTCTAACTTTACGTCTGCAAAAAATCAAAGCAATCGGTTGAGTAGTTACGGCGTGAAGGTGGAACAAACAAACAAACTCACTTTCAGATTTATAATATTATAGTAAGGATAAGGATGAGTTTTGTTAATCGATTTGATGTAGATGAGGTAATGTGTTTAATTAAGTAAAGGCCTAAGTTTTCAGTAAATATTATCGTACTTTTAAAGTTCTTTAAAATCTTTCATTCCAAGAATCATTGCCTTATGTAAGTTTTCTGTTTCCAGTGCCGTGGACCCCTATAGTGGCGCACGCAAACGAAGCATTTGAACAGAGGCATCATCCGAACCTACATATCGTATTCTACGAAAATATGAAAAAGGTATGTATATTTTTAATGCAGTATCATGAAATATATAAAATACATATAATATATAAAATAAATACTATATATGCTACATGATAAATCTATTCGCCGAATTCAAAATATTTCAGCTGTTGAATTCAAAATAAAACCTTTTTTTCCAAGTAGATCAAAAGTCTTTAATTTAAAATAAAACTGTAAAAAACATACTGATTTGTGGGGCTTTTAGCGAAGCAATGTTGCAAAAATATATTAATAATTAATACAGTTCTAACTTTGGTAGGTGCAATCGTCAATTTTAGCATGATAACCACGTGGTCAATAATGCAGTATAATTTTGACTAACTTTTGACTAACAATACTTTAACTTTCAGGATCTGCACAGAGAAATAGGAAAAGTCGCCAAGTTTCTGAACAAAGACTACACAGACGCACAGATCGACAGGCTGGCTGAACATCTCAGCTTCGACAACCTGAGGAAGAACAAAAATGTCAACAATAGCATAAATAAAGATTCTGAAATACAGTTTATTAGAAAAGGTGAGTACCTACTTCAGTTAAAACTAAATAAAAAAATTACTGATATAATAGATCAATATTTTTTTTAATACGTTGCCGGGGATGCAACATATTATAGAATACACTAGGATTTTCTTCTGTGTCGTGGGTATGTTTACAAACATACAAGTTCACATACACATGACACCCAGACCCGGAACAACGATCTGTGGATCACACAAAGAGTTGTTCCGTGCGGGATCGTGCGACAGCCAGTGGCCCAACAGCCGCGTCAACCGTGCAGTCAAATCCAATCTACTCTACATTGATCCCAATATACACAGATTTATTTATCAAATCGAAACTCCCAGAATTGGGATGATGACAGAGTATGAAAGTTAAAAATCTAATTACTCCGTAAGTTAGGTAATGAAAAATATTAGACACGATTTTTTTTTATTTTGTCGTATAGTAAAACAATACTTAGACAAAACGAATCAAAGTTTAGGAGTGGGGGCTGAAACGTCATTTCTACGTATTAAATATACATAGAAGTGACGTCACGCGACATTTTAAATCAATATACCGCCGAAAGTATTCGTTTCTGTAAGAAAATAAAAAATACGCGTCTAATGATTTAAAATAGTCTACCAGACGGACATTATAATAAAAATTAGGCATCTACCCTATTGTAAAGCTGGTATTTAATCGCACTTACATTCAACATTACAACTTCAGTATAAAACCTTTTACCACCAACTCGCTCACTTGCTCACTATGTCCACACTCTAATTCTCAAATTTTATTCAAATTTCAGGCGAAGCTGGAGGCTGGAGGGCACATTTCGACGAGAAAATGCAGTTGCAAGCTGAGGAGTTCCTCGTAACAAGACTAGCAGGGCTCGAGTTATCTTACCCTTCCTTCCCCACTAACGAAATCACTAAATTATAACACATACGAACCTATTTATTATTATGTATATAGATAATATCTACGCTTTTCTGTGATCGGTAAATGTGGAGAGTGAATGGGAACGTGTCAATATTGTTGTGATTTATTTTGTAAACTTTTTTAAATATCGAACACCGGTGAAGTTGGTTATCCATTGCGTTCTTCCGAATTTGAATTTTAACGTTTGAAATGCTTCTAAAGAGGTTATGAATAAAAAAAAATAGAAGTGCTTTTGGTTACATTTTTGAATTAGGAAGTAGGTCTTTTAAAAATTGATTGTTTATGAATAATACAGATTATGAATCACATTTTGATTTTAGTCAACTTATGATTTATTGCAATGATTATCAATTATTTTACACTAATTGCTGGGTTTGTCACTTAATATTGATTGATGACGATAAAAATCAGCATTGTGATAATTAAAATATAATTCTTTGGAACCAGATTCGAATTGGACGCAGTGTTTAGTCACCCTTACAATGCTAAACGGGTTGATTTGTAAATATTTAGTTTTGTAAGTTCTTTTTGCATTTAGACTGCCTTATGGGTCAACGACCTTTGACTATGTCTAGATTGTACACAAATTATGTTATACTCAATATGGTAAAAACTAACCATACCTATAGTTTAAGTTACTCTCTAATTCAAATACATGAGCAGAGCTCGACAGTTGAATGTTTATCTAATTTGACTTCTAAATACAGAACAATAGAGATGAATATGTAATATTTATTACTCGGGAAATAAAACAATCTATTTTGATTTTTGACTGAAAGATTAGTGCTCGAAGTTAAATAATTAATTATAGTAAATTATACACTTTTCACGGATTCATTAGACCTTTTGTAACCAGTGTTCGGTTGAATAACCAACCAATGGTTACCATTTTTGTGCTTAATTAATCTTTATTTTCTTACCTAAATATGTACCTAATAATTTGGCTGCCTGTGCTTTCTATGTATGTACCATTTTGGTCGCTGTTACCGAAATCGGTAAGGAGGACTATACCTTATAGGATATGTATATCAGCAAAGTTTACGGCAATACACATTTGAAACAAAATCCTGTGGCAAATTCGTTGTCCACCGCCCAGTTTTCCATGTGGTCGCTCGCTGAGTGCATGCGAATATCGCCTAATGATGGTCGACTGCCAACTTTGTTGAATGTACCTACATATTGAAGCTTCAAAGATAAACAATCATAAGTAGTGTAATTAATTGTGATTGTACATATATTAAAATTAATTGCTAAGTAGCGCAGCTCGTGAACGCTTCTACAAATTCGGGGCCATAACCTATCTTTTTTTCAAATATTAGTTAGAATATTCTAGTGAAGAGAATACATAGAAAGAAACGAAACGCTGAAAGTTAATAGAAGAAATAGGTACGTGTTTTGAGTTACCTTTTAAAGAATAAGCTTTCTATGTGATAATTGTTTGTAAATTATATGTATGTAGGTGTCGATTATTTTGATGTGATATAGAATTACAATATTGTAACAATTATTATTGTTCATAATATAAATAATACTACTAGCTGTTGCTTGCGACTTTTTCCGCGTAAAATATGAATTTTAGGCCATTTTTTCAAACTAAAAGCAGCCTATGTCACTCGTTAGTACATCAGCTAACTGCCAATAACAGCCAATAAAAATAACTCCCGTCAAAATTGATCCAACCTTTCCAGAGATTAGACAATACATTATGGATGCAATAAACACTTGATTACTTGATTACAAACAGATATGCAGACAAACATTGTAAAAAATGTTATTTTGGTAAGTGTATCGTATGTATATTCATAAGCATGTAGTAAAAAGCGGTTATTTTAATATAACAAACACACAATCCAATTTTACTTATCTGCATAGATAAACTATTTGACATCTCCTTCTGGCTGGCAGGCTGTAGAATTTGAAATATTACGAAAAAAAAGTTAAAGTTCTAAATCTAAAATAGATATTCTGTTCTTGAACCAAACGTGTAGTTTCAAATTTATATTCGTAGAATGAACAGTTGTAATTGTTATTGATTGATTTATAATTTTGCTGTAGGTATATCAAGTCCTTGTTACCTCGTTATGTCATAATTTATAAATATTATCTTTTGTGTTGTAAGTAAACAGCTTATGAAGCTTTATTTTGTAAATAATAATAAGTATGCTTAAGTTATTATAAAGAAAAGATTTTCTATCAAATAAATATTCATATTTACACGAAATACTGGTTTGTCTTTATATATAACTAGCGACCCGCCCCGGCTTCGCACGGCTGTAATATGCATTTATTATACACGTAAACCTCCCTTAAGAATCACTCTATCTATTAAAAAGTCGCGGAGAACCTAACGGGGCTCCGGCTCGACGTGCAGGAGAAGGAACGGGGTGGTTTTTAGTCAGTAAGAGTCTGACACTCCCTCCCGCCTCACCCAGGCGGGAGCAGTCATTCGATGATTTTCCCCCCTTTAAAAAAAAACGATTAAAAAAAACCGCATCAAAATCCGTTGCGTTGTTTTTAAGATCTAAGTTTACCTACATAGGGATAGACAAATGGAAGATAGCGACTTTGTGTTATACTATGTAGTGACGATTGTCTTTTTTTGCCTTCAAATTTGCGGCACTCACTGTTTATCAGATATAGAAACACATATAATATAAGGTTAGTTAATTATCATTTATTAGACACATTTGAATTTTTACTGATAAATGTTAGTCAAATTAAAAAATCAAAACAAAAAAATTGAACAAATCTAAGAATGTACATTTAAAATCTACGCATCTACACACTTGCGACCATTGCACCCACAAGTAAGTGGCAAAAGAGAAAACGTCAGCTTAAATAGCAACACCTTAATACTGTTGACTCCTAAACAGGAACCAGCATCCATACATCATAACCGCCATTTTATTTATATCTAGATTAATGAACAAGCGGCCATTTTATTACGGCACGGAACAAAGTGAGCTCTTCGCAGTACCAGTCTATTGTTTGCCTTAATAAATTACACGGGAGTACCATCGCAGCCTGTTTAGAACATTATTATGTCAAATTATTATGTTTATGTAACTTGGTGAGCTGGATTTTTGTTGTCTACAAGGAGGTAATTAATTCCCGGGTCAGTAAAAATCTTAAAACAGTATAAGGACAGTTAAAATGAACTTAATTACTTTTTGGTGATGTATCTAATCAATATTTTACGTAATTTTTATGTCAAGCAATAGTTATTATTATTATTTATTTCTTCTTCACAAAACATAACAGTGAATGGCGGACTTAATGCCTTAAGGCATTGTCTTACAGTCAACCATAGGGAAGTGTAGAGAAATGAAGTGGAGTGAAATGATGTTATGTATCTATGTAACCTACCTTTTAAGGGGGGCGCCGCTGACGCGTGCGTACTTTCCTAATTTCTAATGAAACTGATCTACTATGTTGTACTCTGGGTGAATTCACACGGAGTGTATTATATTATAGCATATACTATATAAGTTGAATAAATAAATAAATAAAAAAAATAATTTAGGCTTTACTGATGCGCCTGCTAAAAAAAATATAGCTACACTCTATACCGTTGAAGTATAAAAAATTGCTAATACAAATGAGTAGGCACATTTAAGAGTTTTTAGTAATAAAATCATTATTTAAGTAAATTACTGAATCAATAAATAATAACAAAATAAATATTAACAACAGATACTGTTTCATTATTTTTTATGGCATAGGAGGCATACGAGCAGACGGATCACTGGTGATGGTAAGCGATCAGTGCCGCCCATGATTACCGCAACACATATTTATTCCAAAAACCACAGTGTCATCCAATTGTCGTTTCGCGTCTGCTAAGATAAAAATCTACATATCTACATACTTATGTGTGTGATTTTGTAAAATTTGTTTTTGTACAATTATCGTAGAGCGCGGCAATGACCTTCGTTTTAAATCTGTAGATAGCGCTGCGGTAAAATCTACTGATAGTGGCATATCAGTCGAAGAAACATAATAATACTACTTTTATTTCTAGAAAAAATAAGCCGTTTTTAGTATTTACACGAGCCTATTAAATCTAGGGATTAATCCCTAAGGGATTAAAAGGGATAGAATAGAAAGGGGTAGAATAAATTTGACATTTGACAGTTTTAGTATGGAAGAGTTGTTAAATATTTAGTGTAATTCCTCAGTTAACATTTATTTGAGCACTAGCTGTTACCCGCGACTTCGTCCGCGTGAAATAACGACTTCTGTATAAATTGGGTTTTTTAAATTAGTCTTTGTCAAGGTATATTCTATGGCTGTACAACGGGAACAAATATCATCACAATCGATTCAGTACCTAGGTTATATTTATTGAGAAATGAATTTATTTTCGTGGTTTCTAAAATAAACAATCCCATAGAGGTTTTACCCGTACAGTGCCCGTCTCGTGAGGTTTCACTATTCTATGTTTGCAAATCAATGTTGTATCGCATTTCAATCAAATAGATATAGTGATTTTAATAGCACAGTTCCCGGTTTCGTGGGTTTTTCGGATTAAAAACTTTTAGATGTCCTTTCCCGGGTCTCAAACTATCGCTGCACCGAATTTCACCAAATAGGTTCAATGGTTTAAAAGGTAAGAGCCCCTCTTTATTTCAACGTCCTTGGTCCTGGTTTTTTAGCGCATAGTTTCCGTCAATTTGGGATTTCCTCTCTCCTATAATGTGACCTGATATGTACCGGTGCGACGTGCGTTACTATCGCAAACATTTAAATGAAAAAATAGGTATTCTGATATTAGGTTAGTTACATATGATACATGTACTTTAATGTTGATATTAATGTCCTCTATAAGACTTAGAGCCAAGGGATTTCCCTTGGCTCTATTGTCCATAATTTCCACAGCGTAATCAATACCAATAATATAAGGAGTTTTTTTGGTAGTTTTTCACACATCGGGTTGTCATTACCTAAAGGAGATTTTTTTGAGGTCGGAAAATCATCCAATCACTTCTCCCGCCTTGGGT